ATAAAAAACAATGTACTTGAAGGTATTCTGTATTTCACTTTAACATACTTTTATATGACGAATAATTTCCTAGAATATATTGAACATTTTTTTTGCAGTAGAAAATTGAAACAATCTAAATCATTTTTAATTAAAGCTCTTTCTCACTAAGGAATACTGAGAGGATGCCAAACGACATTAATGCACTCCATTATGTCTTTGACTATACTTTACAACTAGAAAAATTTCATTTTTATAGTGTCATCAGCCTTCTATTTAACAGAAAATGTTTTATTGACATTTATGTTCTTTACCTAATGATGTGTATTTAAATGATGGCTTCCATCTTCATTAGAAGTGATTGTCTTAAAAAATAATAAGAGTGATAACATAGAAACCTGGTCTCCTTCTAATTGCACACACTGGGAATATATTCTTTGGCTAAACATTTCACCAATATGGCTGAAGGATTTAGTTTTTGAGACTATACGTATCTACTTTTGTTAATCTGCTCTGTATCCTCCCACTGTACTGAATCACAGCTCACCATGTGATGAAATAAATATCAAAAAAGTGAGGATGTTTGACTTTCCAGGCTAGGTCATAAGAGAAAAATGAAGCTTCTGCCTTCTTTTTCTTTTCTTCTTTAATTACTTGTGGAAGAAGTCAAATGCAATGTTATGAGGAAAGTCAGCAGCCCAGTAGAGTTTCATGAGGAGAGAAACCATAAATTACCAGCCAAAGCCATCACCAGTTTGCCAGCTTAACAGTGAGCCATCTTGCAAGAAAATCCTCCTTTTCGTCTCAAAACATCCCAGCCAACATCTAATTATAACCTCAGGCAATTTCAAGCCAAATCTACCCTGTAAAGTTATTGCTGAACTTCTGACCTATAGAAGCCATGAGAGATAGGATATGCATCTCTGAGATTGTGGGAATGATGTAGGATAGGGCAAGAGTTAGATCCGTTGTTCATAGAATTGCTGTGAGTCATAGAGAGAGCTCTGTTGGCCTTTCTAGTGGATAGAAAGTTAGGCTACTAAACCAAAGGTGTGTGATTTTAATGTGTCTCTCTGGCCTGGATTTATTGTTTTGGCTAACATTCTTCTAAGTGGTATAGCACTGGTCTGTCAATTTGCTGTACAGAGGTAACTCATGTTTGTTGTGATGCTAAACACTGTAATACTGATGTGTCAAATGCAATAATGATTACCCTTAGTGGACAGTGTTTTGTGGAGCTCCCAGATTAAAACAAGTTTGGAAGCAAAAGTGGTGTCCACTTCCGAAATAGCTAACCTCCAGAAACTCTATGAATTAAGAGAAATTATGAAAGATATACAAGTGTTCAGGACTTTCGTTCATAGGGTCGCTATGAGTCGTCTACAACAACATACTAGTGGAGTGATTTCTTACATCATTATTGGTAATCAATACAGTTTCGTATTCCTTTCTTGGATATTGAGTCTGATGATTTGCAGATTTATGCAACCAAGGACTATAAAATTCATTACAGAAAAGCTAGGAACAACACTAGAAGTCCTAATCCACAACATAAACAGTCTTCCCAGTATCCTGG